TCGGGCTTAAGTTAAGAGGGGGGTGAACTTTAGGTATGTTTGGAGAAGTATTTTTCACACTGTATTTTTTCTATGGTGTCACAGAATATTTATGCCAAATTTGGTACGGGTATGTTGAACGATAAAGAACCTTTTACCCAACAGACACATATACATGTAATATTTTTTGACATTTATGTATAAGATGAAGACATATTGAGAAACAAAACAGCCCATTTTTTGGCAGTATCAACAGACTTGCTGTAAGAATATTTATTTAATTCTGGAAGATTTTTCATTGCTACTAAGGCTCTTCTATTTGATTTGCATTGCTACAGAGACTCATACAGTTTAGTTTACATTACTACTAAGGCTCTGTTGTCTTTATTAATTTTGTAGTATTTTTTTAAACTGTAGGCTAAATAATTTACTTTTTAAACCATAAATGCATACAAAATAACCTCCAAATGATAGCAACCTCCGAACGACGACCACTTTTCACGTCCCGGTCAATGTCCGTCGTTTACAGGTTCGACTGTATTTAATTTATAACGTATTTCTGGACTAAACAGCAAAGGTATGTTGATTTTAGCCAATTTTCTTACAGTTTGCTTGTTTTATCGTGATTTTTTAAAGGATAATTACAATTAAAAATGCTTAATCGTATTTAAATATGCTAATTAACACTTTGATCGGGACTCCGCGGCATAAAGTCTAATAATTTAATGCTGTTGATGTCATTAATAATCAATTAAAATATGAAAACAATGTTAAACAATGTACGTAAAAATTAAACAACCAAATTGCTATTAATCGGGTAAATATAAAATGTAAATATTTGATAAATTTCAACTTAATTTACCACAGATTTAATTAGAAAATTTTATTTTGTTTTGTTTAAATTTTACAAAATGGATCCTCCTAGGCTTAGTACTTCTGTAATATGTTTCTTAGTTATAAACAGATAAGAAACTCCTATAGATTAAAATCTGGGGATGGGCTATACTTTGGACTCTCTTCAGTAAATATTAAAAATAATATATATAAAATGTTTAAAGTCTGTTCCAAAAATAATAGTAATAATAAAAGATATGTTAATCGAAGATTACGAACATTTTTTAGATTATTTTGAATTAATAGAATGAGTTTTTTTTCAATTGATAATTTGGTGTGAATTTTTAATTTTATTTTTTTGTTTAGCAATTCGATAATGCTGTCGAACCACCAACAGCGGCCACCTCTCAAGAACGGACACCTCTATATAGCAACCATGTTTTTCAAGGACGTTTCTTTTTGAAACGAATACAAAATAACCTCTAAACAACGGCCTTTTTGAGGGACTTCTTTTTGAAAAGAATACGAAATAAACCTCTGTATAGCAGCCATGTTTTTCATAACGTTTCTTTTTAAAACAAATACAAAATAACCTCTAAATAACGGCCTTTTTGAGGGAATTCTTTTTGAAAAGAATACGAAATAAACCTCTGTATAGCAGCCATGTTTTTCATAACGTTTCTTTTTAAAACAAATACAAAATAACCTCTAAACAACGGCCTTTTTGAGGGTCATTTTGAAATCAATACAAAATAACCTCTAAACAACGGTCAATTTTATGTTCCCGTCAGTGGCCGTTGTTCAGAGGTTTGACCGTAAAAATAGTAAATCACGCACAAATTTCATTTAGTTAATTACAATTAAATTTAATTGCAATTTAAAAATATTTAAATATTTGAAATTAAATTAATTTATTTAAAAAAAAAGGGATGATTAATTNTAATTTGGCGCGTGGATTTAATTTTAATTAATTAATTAAACACTTTTTCCGCACTTTTACGACGTAAAAAAAAAGTTAAATAAGTTTACAAATTTTTTTTAAAAAAAAAAAAAAGGCCATTTGTTAATGTTATTTTTGTTATTAATCTTGCAAAGAACAGCTGTAATCATTGGGAATTGTTTGCAAACAAGCCTTTGTTATTGAATGAATCTGCTCTGTTGTTCTGTAAAAGAAGCGAGAGAAAGAAGGAAAAAAGAGAAGCAATGGCGCCATTGCAGTTATGCATCAATGATAAGCACTTCACTCTTTGTACAGCAATTTAAATCAAGGAGTAGAGGGTCAGCAGTAAACTGATATCATTTTTGACGTCCTGAAGTGGTCTAGAATCGCGACACGACGCCTACACATATGTACTTCTAGGACACAAAACACTTTCTTATGCTTTTTTACAAGGAAATTTTTCGCCTAAATGGCGTTTAAGTTAAAGAAAATTTTTATTAACATTTAATATATCTTAATTTAACTCGTAAAACCTCAATGGTATTACATATCTTGTAGCCTGGTGTTGCTTCAACATTTATTTGTTGCCTCATAACGTTTACAAGCATTCCTTGAAGCCTCGTATAGCCTTAATGGTTACAGCATCTCTTGTAGCCTCACGTAGCCTTAATGGTTACAGCATCTCTTGTAGCCTCATGTAGCCTTAATGGTTACAGCATCTCTTATAGCCTCATGTAGTCTTAATGGTTACAGCATCTCTTGTAGCCTCACGTAGCCTTAATGGTTACAGCATCTCTTGTAGCCTCATGTAGCCTTAATGGTTACAGCATCTCTTATAGCCTCATGTAGTCTTAATGGTTACAGCATCTCTTGTAGCCTCACGTAGCCTTAATGGTTACAGCATCTCTTGTAGCCTCATGTAGCCTTAATGGTTACAGCATCTCTTATAGCCTCATGTAGTCTTAATGGTTACAGCATCTCTTGTAGCCTCACGTAGCCTTAATGGTTACAGCATCTCTTGTAGCCTCATATAGTCTGGGCGTTACATTTCTTGGATTGGAATTGCTTGTACGCATTACAGTCGACCCCCTATAACACTGTTGATTATTCCGTTTTATATGAATTCCATGTTGTACGAGTCACTTAGATTTTACAAATACGTATGCCGGGCTGTGAACGGCTCACGTATTTGTAAAATCTAAGTGACTCGTACAACATGGAATTCATATAAAACGGAATAATCAACAGTGTTATAGGGGGGTCGACTGTATTTACGCTGATAAAGATCTTTTAATCCTTGTATTCTTTACATAAACATCGTCGTGTCATTATAATAAATATAAAGGATCTTTACTTAATTTCTTGTTAAAATGACAAGTAATTACTTAAAAGTTCAAAAGATGTGAATCACTCTCATCAATCAAACTATAACTGAAGTCTCTTACTGTGTTACTTAAACTGAAATAAAGCCTTAATTATAATTTAAATTGACGTTTTATTTAATTGTTTGTTTTTTAAAAACAAAACCATTAAAATCTTCAGACATGATTTTAATATTTTTGCTTCTTGATGAAAGCCAATCCTTTCATCAAGCAGCAGCATAATTTAAACTTCTACTAATTTAGATTAAGATGTAAAAATAATAATTTTGATATTCTGAATATAATTAATATTAATACAAAGAATATTCAATAAGTACGTATAAGGGTTTTATTTCAGTATCAGTGATGTTTCACAATAAAGAAGTTGAATGAACTTCATCAAGGTAAAGCAGCGTGGAAGAAGCATAAAAAAAGTTTATAAAAATAATTTAATTAATATTAAAATTAATTAAAATAATACATAAGACCTCCATTGACGTCACAGGATTTTTAAATAGGCTAAAAATTGTCCTATTGAACAACGTACGAGATACAAATTTCGTAATGGATCGTTGACGTTTCCAAAGAAAATTGCAATACGAAATTTTGTAAGAAAAATTCTTTATATAAAAAAAAATATATATATGTATATTTCTCAATTTAAAAATCTATATTAAGTATTTATCTCTTCTATTAACCTGTGTTTAAATTAATAATATAATCACACGTTTAGATGAAAATTTTATAACTTTTTCAGAAGAGCCATATGTAATTTTTTATTTTAATTAACTATACAGCGTTATATAGAGGGTTTCTATTGTTAAAAACACAATAATAGAAGATTCTCGATATAGCGAATTAATCGAAATCATTCACAGTATCTTTTATAATGTAACAATTAAACATCCATTTAACGCGTGGTAGCGTTATATAGAGGGATTCCTATTGTTGAAAATAGCATTATAGAAGACTCTCGATATAGCAAACCAATCTAAATCATTCACTAATCTACTGTATCTTGCATAATACATCACTTAAACTTTAATATGGTTCATTTAATTATATACAAAAATAATTAGTTTATAAATTAACTTTAACATTTATTAAAATACTTTTCTGTAATTATAATTAAAAATTTATATAGAAAAATAATATAAAATTGAAACAGAATAGGATCTACAAGGACAAATCTACTATCAATGAATAAAGTTAATTCTCCAATTGATATAACAATTGAAGGAGAAAAATAAAATTTAATATAATATTTTATAATAAAAATTGAATTTAATAATAAAATTATATCTAAAAATAACTTGAAAAAGTTAATTTCTTTTTATATAATCTAACAATAAATTCTATAAATTTATATGCTAAATACAGTACAGTAAACCCTCAGTATAGTGAATTCAGTTCTTAAATACTGAAGGTTTATTATATAATTTAAGTATAATTTATATTATAAGAATAGAAGAAGGGTTTATGAAGGATTCTTATATTATTATTTTTTTTACTATAATAATGGCAATATAGAATAATTTGCCATTAGATACAAACAGCACACTTTAATGTACTGTAGCATTGTTAAAATCTACAAACAAAGAAAATTGTTTAAGAAATTTATGTTATATCCTGGCATTGTTTTATTATTTTATAATAATAATAATTTTAAAAAAAATTCGATTTTAATCGCTAAAAACGGCCATTATATTTTAAAAATTAAAATAATAATAATAACAAATAAAACTTTTATTGCCCAGTTAATTTAATCAATTACAAAATAAAGAAGACAGTAATAAACGTGTGAAGTTTAAGAGAGTTGTGACGAGTTTAAAACTCTTTAATGAATCATTAACTTTTACAAATGATAATTACAATTAAGTAAATACTCACTTAGCACTCTTTGGTATCTTATTTAAACAGACACTAGGTAATCTTTCGGCAGTTGGTTCGGCCGATATAGCTAGCCTTTTGGATCTGAACTCAGGTGCAGAATTTTTAACATAATCCCATTCACCATTGACGGAAACGGGGAATGGCACCTCCTTCGTCACCAGTCTGTGTGCCAAAGGTTTCATCGCCATGCGAAACTTTTCCAATTCAGCTTGCAGTTGTTTAATGAACATATTCTTTGCTCTTATTTCCATTTCCAAACTGTCGATTCTCAGATCCTTCTGCCTCACCTCTCTTTCCTTCTGTTCCAATGCCAATTGAAGATCTCGAACACTCGTCATGTGTTCAAGGGAGACGGCCCTCTCCCAAAGGCCGATTGTCACGCTCATATAACAATCCTGTCAGTGTCAATTGTATAAAGAGCAATCGCACGTCCTTGCCCGGGTGTTACCAAAATAACTACAGGATCCACTCGACAGGTTATAAGTCTTGTGTTGTAAGCTAAACGTCGCCGGATACGGTAATCCAACCTGAATCGATGTAAACGCCGCCACCGGCCTTAAGTGCTATTACACAGCAACACAAGAAAAAAAAACACATCACCCCGCTGTGACGGAAGAAACGGAGGAGGAAAAAAAAAGGAAAAAAAAGGAAGGAAAGAAGGCAACTGAAAGCATAATTAGTCGCTGATAGCGCCCTCTAGCGGATCCAATTTTTTCCCCTATTACACTACTTACAAAGAGTGCCATTCTATACCTCTGCCATCTGACACCCTAAATATATATATACACATTTATATATACACTCCAACATGTGGTTTATTGCACATAAGTAAGGCGACTTGCGTAAATCTTTAATTTGAAAAATTGATCAATTTCGATGCGGTTCTGTTTTATTTTTTTACACCAGGGTTCTTTTTTTATGAATTTAAATTTATACAAAAATTCGCCATTTTGTTCCATTTTAGAGAAAATTTGCTGGGAGGTTTAACCTGAACCTAACATTTACAATATATAAATATATATTTATGAAGATCTGTGCCCTTTTATATTATACTTGTATGCTTTATATTCATACTATTTTAGTAATTATTAAGCTTACTTTTTAAGCAAAATCTGTCATAAGCAACAGCTTAGAACCTCGTACTGTAAGGATTTAGTCGAAGTCCTTAAGCTAAATCTGTAGTATGAGGCCTAAGCTCCCTCCCTATATTGATGGAGAAGGGCTTTTTTATATGTTGTATATAAGTCTAAATCTGGCATATTACTCTATAGAAAATGTAATAAAACTGTGTATTATATTGTATTTATATTAATACTACAGACACTACAGATTTATACTATTGTATATTTAAAAATATATTTACTTGTATGCACTCTAATACAGTTATACATACATTACTCATTGTTATACCTTTGTAACATATTTAAATCACAGATAAAAATATATTAAATTAAAAAAAAAAAGAACAATAATGGCACGGCTTAATTCAGTTAACAAGTTAAAAGATCGATTAAGAGAGATGCAATTAAAGGGGGTAAAAAAAATCAAGCAAGGATTTCAGCAATCCGCGGCATTCTTTAATTGCATTGTTTAGTACCGAGGATGGTATAATATTACAAGACTAGAACACGGTATAAGACCTTCTAATTGCTAAACATAGGGAGAATACAGTGAGTGTCATTGTGAGACTTGTATAAAATCTACTTGTTAGTTTATTCCTCGGCGGTGGAAAAAGTAAATAAATATTAAGTCCCGTCTCCCTTACAAGACTGAAATATTTTCTTTCGTCTCTGGATTATATCTGTCAAAAAAAAATTACTCAGTGGTGGGTCGGAGGAATAATAAAGTTCCTTATTTTCCACTCTAATAGGGGATTGTAACAGTTATACTTTGATTGAGTTATCTGTCAATTTTTAGATTTCGATTCTTCAGATCGCCTTACCCGTTTTATAACTAAGTAACACAACTTTCTTATTGACTTTTTTATTAAATAAAGAATTATATCTAGTTAAATGTTTATTTATTTATTTTTTTCTTACCCTCATAAATCTTAGTAAGCAATCACTAAATTACGAAGAGGAAAAAAAAATATCCATCATGGTGGTATACGATGATGGATATTTGTGGATTGATTCGTGTGAAATTAAGTAAATTAATGGCTATTTTAAGAAAATCTCTGGCCTCTTATTGAAGAAACAAGTACAATTCTAAGAATTAAATCCCGTATTATCAGTAGAATAGGCGAGAGATTATCATTATGTTGGCAATTCCATCTTTCAAGGACCTGTCTTCAAGAGAGCAATGACCATTTTCAATGGAAATGGCTGATAAAAAAAAAATTATATTATTATAGAATTATCTCGAAGAAAATCTATTTTTTGACCTTTATATTGATAATTTGACATTAAAGTGTAATTTTTAAATTCAAGTAATGCAATTGGAGAATGTAAACTGAAATTCAAAGCAATCAAGATGGAGGATGGAAAGTAAGATTCTACTGTATTAAAAATTGTACCGACCATATAAAATTTATAATTTATAAATTTAATAATTTAATATATGGTATTAATTATATGCCTATAAATTTTTTTTAAAAAAAATGCTGTTTTTATTATCCAATAAAAAGCAATATAATATAATTTACTCTCGTGACTCGTGATGCAAATCGTCTGATAAGAAATATAAAAATAAATTTAATTTATTGTATTTAAAAAATATATTTTTTTATATAAATGTAATTTTTATTTATAAAAGTTGTAAATAATTATAATATTGTATTTTTATATTTTAATTTAAAAAAAAAATTATTATCCATCAACAGATGGCACCACGCTATAAATGAAGATCGAGGCACGTTTCTTTGTCATTGTACTTTTCGCAGAAAGCAGACCAAAAAAAAAAAAAAATTAAATTAAAATTGTAAACTTTAATAAGTAATTAATCGGTTTAATGTTAATTAATTCAAAGTTAATTATGTTAAATCGGTAGAAACTGTTTCCAAGTGAATCTAAGAATGCGCAAATTATGAAATTTAACGTTCGTATAACATATATTTTTGCATTAATTTATTTAAAATAAATAAATCATGCTTTATTTATATTAAATACATCAATTTAAGTACAAAATTCCCGCATCTGTAATAATAAATCTTGGTACACTCGTTCCTGAGCTTGATGATTGACATAAAACTTTGCATTTCCTTGAAATTTCTGCACCTTATCCAAAAAATATATATAAAATTAGCACCATTATATATATTTGCATTGTTACTAAGGCTCTGCTGTTTAGTTTGCATTACTACTAAGGCTCTGCTGTTTAGTTTGCATTACTACTAAGGCTCTGCTGTTTAGTTTGCATTACTACTAAGGCTCTGCTGTTTAGTTTGTATTGTACTGTACATTACTACNAACTTAATTTACCACAGATTTAATTAGAAAATTTTATTTTGTTTTGTTTAAATTTTACAAAATGGATCCTCCTAGGCTTAGTACTTCTGTAATATGTTTCTTAGTTATAAACAGATAAGAAACTCCTATAGATTAAAATCTGGGGATGGGCTATACTTTGGACTCTCTTCAGTAAATATTAAAAATAATATATATAAAATGTTTAAAGTCTGTTCCAAAAATAATAGTAATAATAAAAGATATGTTAATCGAAGATTACGAACATTTTTTAGATTATTTTGAATTAATAGAATGAGTTTTTTTTCAATTGATAATTTGGTGTGAATTTTTAATTTTATTTTTTTGTTTAGCAATTCGATAATGCTGTCGAACCACCAACAGCGGCCACCTCTCAAGAACGGACACCTCTATATAGCAACCATGTTTTTCAAGGACGTTTCTTTTTGAAACGAATACAAAATAACCTCTAAACAACGGCCTTTTTGAGGGACTTCTTTTTGAAAAGAATACGAAATAAACCTCTGTATAGCAGCCATGTTTTTCATAACGTTTCTTTTTAAAACAAATACAAAATAACCTCTAAATAACGGCCTTTTTGAGGGAATTCTTTTTGAAAAGAATACGAAATAAACCTCTATATAGCAGCCATGTTTTTCATAACGTTTCTTTTTAAAACAAATACAAAATAACCTCTAAACAACGGCCTTTTTGAGGGTCATTTTGAAATCAATACAAAATAACCTCTAAACAACGGTCAATTTTATGTTCCCGTCAGTGGCCGTTGTTCAGAGGTTTGACCGTAAAAATAGTAAATCACGCACAAATTTCATTTAGTTAATTACAATTAAATTTAATTGCAATTTAAAAATATTTAAATATTTGAAATTAAATTAATTTATTTAAAAAAAAAGGATGATTAATTCTAAATATATTAAAGTAAAACAGATCACATCAAACAGGAATTAATTGCTGCAACAGAAGCGAAACCAGACAACTGCAAGACCTAATAAAGTATGAAAATTTAATTGTGACGTATATTATAGCTGTGTTAGTCTATTCCTCATTAAATTCATAAATTAAAAAAATTATATAACATAAGTTTTTATGCCAAACTCTTCCAGAAAGCAGTATAAATTGCTTAATATAGATGCATATAAAGCTGTTTAAAGTTGCATAATGCTTTAATTAAATAAAATACACTAAAAAAATGCCAAAATAACTATTTTTTCTTAACATATATTGCAAAAAAAAAATGCAAATCTTTATACAAAACTGATGCATGAAACGATGCAATTGCATAGAAGCATTATAACTTAAAAGTATACAAAACATTCCAACTGTAGTGTGCCAAAACAATTTTCCACCCTCTCCCTAACAATACTTAACCTAAAAAAATAATAAAATAAAATAAAAATTAGGTTAACCACTAAATACTTTATATTATTTATTTATATTATTCTCCTGTTACTATACACACAACAACAACAACAGTAACAACACACCAATAAAACCAGTCGATTTACTTTGTTACGACGACAGGCAATTAATATACAATTACCTGAGAATTTAATGTAGACGTAGTTGAAAAAATATAAAATAAAATTGTTGACATACAAAACTCGTGTTTCATTTTATTATATACAATATACCAGCTTTATATTATTATATATATATATATATATACGAATGCATAAATTTTATTAATGGCACATAATAAACATGTATTCTATTTTAAGAAACGATCACGTGCTTTTTCTGTCATCAAGGCCCGCTTGTAGGGGGGATGTATACGGGGAAGGAACCGGAAGATGTACACACACGACTTCCGTTTTTACTGGGAGGAAGTCGGTTTTCCTTGACGATACGTCTTTTATTTATTTATTTATTTATTTATCTACCCATTCTAACTAATTATTACATTAAAATATTTATTTATTTTATTATTATTACTTTTTTTCTGAACTTTGTTTAAGTGTGTTTTCGGCTCCTTGCTAGTAACTAAATATAAACTAAGTAACTGGAAGGTAGCCAAAATACAACACCTGACAGTCAGGGGGATAGGGAAAAGTTGTCTTCGTAAATTTCTGTAAGGTTTTTTCCCTATTTTATTAACTAGGAAATGTTATATTCACAATGCGTTACGTGTTTAAATACACATACATAAATACAGCGTATTGAGTAAGTAAATAAATAAAAGAAGAAGAAGGTGAAGCAAATATACATCCTGAATGTTAAATGATTATTATTCTTTATTATTTGATATAATTTTACTATATGTTTATTTTATTTTTATATAAAAATCTGCGTGAAATTGCAAAAATATATATATATATATATACAGTCTCATATAAAAATATTAAATTTCAAATTTAATAATAGAAAACGACAATAGAAAACGTTAGATTAAATACGAAAGTATTGTTACAGTTTTATTTATATTATTTACATAATTTTCTTTTGTTTACATATACTTTAATATAAATACACAATTGAAGTATTATGTATTACTATATAATATGTTAACTGACTTTTTAGCTACTCTATATTTTCATATAGAGTAAGAGGGTGGTTCAAAAGTTAGTTAACACTTGTTTTGTTTTATTTAAGTTCCAAGCACACTTGCGAATATGAGTCGTAAAATGGGTTTACGATTCATATTCGCATGTGTTTTTCTTATACGAAATTTGATGAATACGCGACAAAAATGTAAAAAAAAAAAAGAAAAAAAAATACGATTAACTATTTATGAATTCGAATGATGCAGCAACTCTCACTCTTTGCAGCAGCAGTCAACCGAATTTTGGTCCACCCTTTATATAAATAAAATCCTACATCAAAGCGAAAGATTAACTATCAGACTCCTCGATTCAGATAAAGAAATCAATCAAATTCCAACAACGGACACCACCAAGCTCTATGAAAGTTAACCAACTTTTGGACCGCCCTTTAGGATAAATCCTCTATCAAAGCGGTCGATTAATCATCCAAGTATCCGAATAAGACAGTAATTTAAGTTCTAAAACGGTAAACTGACTTTTNGGAACCTTCTTCATGGATGGGGGATAGAGGGCTACCACACCATATAACTCCCTTGATCATACTGGGACTCGTTTTTGAGTTTTAGCGGCACGCACATTGTACACTTTCCTTTATAATATATATTGATTATTAAATTTTACTATTTTTTCAAGTCATTTATTAATTATTAATGATTTTTATTATTTTTGATTTTGGCATAACATTTGTTATAAAGGCAAAAAAGTCGTATGTTTGTAATCAAAAACAAATATTTTATTGCATTTAAATTTTGATTAAAATTTTATTGATTTTAAAATATTTAAATATTTATAACTAGTTAAATGCAGGAAAAAAATAATATAAACATTAATGTGTGCAAGGAATTCCCAATTAATTCTAGAATTTTTTTTATTTTCAATGTTGTTTTCCACTTTACTGATATTGATTACATCTCCATATAGTCAATCTGTACAGATACTTATTCCATTGTTCTATTAACTTTCAAGTTTATGATGTAGAAATATTTGGAGGTATCATATTGGAGATGAATAATATTTCTTTGCATCTACTCATTATTGGTGAACTTCTAGCTTATCACTAACTTTTACAGTTAAAAACAAATGAAAATTTGTGTCTATTCTGGACTGTATGGAGAGTGCTGCAATACTTTCCAACCCATCTGCTGCACTGTGTGGGACATATATTGTCTTGCTAGAAAATCAATCCCATCTGCAGTAATTGCAATAAATGCTTGGTCTCAGGCATTATTTTACAACGAGAATAAAGAATCAATAAAATTTCTTATGATGGAAGGAGCATCCAGTGAAGGTGTTCATTATTGGGCTGCAATTTCGAAGCACATTGTAGACCAGTAAATTCCCACTGTTGTCCATCTATCTGTCTTTCCTTAATTAATTAATCTCAAAATTGGAGTTAGATACATGAAAGATGAGACCAGATATGAAAAACTATATTAACTATAAACCTGATTAACTATATATGAACTTCCTATGCAAACTGGAAGTCATGTTATTTCAATTCAAAAATTTTTCCCTGAAAGGAGTTAGATAACTGGCATGACTTGATTGCTAAAGGAAAACTATGATGTATGGGGGCAAGACACTGCTAATTTGAAGGTTGAGAATATATATTTTAAATTAAATAAATTAAAAATATGATTAAAAATTGCAGCCTGACATTGTGACAATGTCACAACAAAATAATTGCTTGTCAGTTGACAGCAGAATTTAAGGAAAAACAAATCATGTTCTAAGGCAGTGGTGCCAAAACTTATTGATTTGTGGGCAAAAACTGTACATAAATTGTAGATTGGCAGGCACAAGTATGTTATATATTTGTGAGAATCAGGTTAGCATTTTTGTAATTTAGGCAATTTAATTATTCAATATTTGTTTGAAGAACATACTGCAGAACAGCATTTCTTGACACTGTTTTATATACATTAATTTTATTCACATTTATGTTTGCAATTAAAAACACAATTAAATAAATGCAAGATTTCCAAATTTTTATAAATTTTACTTCAGCAGGATGAGGCGTAATTTTTTTACCTGAAACCAATAAAAATATTTGAGCATGTAATTTTTTTGAAAAATTTATAGATATTAATTTTTAATATTACTGTTATTTCTCCAATTTTATATTATTTTTGGGTAGGTTGTGAATATAAGTATAAATATGTGTAAAGGAATTTGCCTATGTTTAGTGTTTGTAATCAGAATTTGACAAAAAAACTTGCAAAATAGTTTGACCATGCCTCACTTCTACTCTCAGATTATCAGTTGTGCATTAATGATTAACTGCTGATCTTTTAATTATTATTTAAGAAAATAACTAAATTAACCAATGTTAGGTCAAAATAAGCTGAGATATATTGTGAATTTATCTTATACAGTAAAATATGTATTCATTAAACGATTTTTTCTTCAGCAACTTCATCAACTGCAACAACAACAGCAGCAGCAGCAGCAGAGATTACAACAATTGTCTCAGCAACAATCAGTCTCACAAAGTAATGCTAATCCACAGCTAAGGCATTTATTACAACATGTAAGTTATATTGCTTAAATTATTTTATATAATAGCAAATACTAACATTTAACTTTTATTACAGCAAATGCAACAAATGCGACAACAACAGCAGCAACAACAGCTTTTAATGCAACCAAATATTCGTTCCCAGCTGCAGTCAAATGTTTCTCAAATAGCCTTATCAGCACCAGTTAGTCAACAACAACAAGCATCTCAGCAGCAACAACAGCAGCAACAGCAGCAACAACAAACTTGGGATGATCCAAGTCTTCTTGACTTTTAAAAAGATTTTTATAATATTGTTATATTACTGTTTTATAAATAGTTAGTACTTGAATTTGATGCAGTATCCTTGAACTGAGTAAATCACAGAAGAAATTTTTCAATACAATATTTATAATTATGAATATGGAATAAACCATAGTTTAATTCTGAATTTACATGTATAATATTGAACAGATTAATTTTTTTACACAAATATTCACTTTTTGAAAATGTAATAAATTTATTGATTTATAAAGAAACTATTACTTTTTATTTTGTCTTGAATATACAAATGCTTGATGCTTATTGATTTTTATAGCAATTAAATTAAATACATTTGTTAACTTTTTGTGTTTTTTTCAAAGAATTCTTAGCAATTCTTAGCATAGAGAAATGAAAACTAATGATTAATTAATGCTTCTAGTCCTTTAAATACAATAGAACTTTGATCATCTGAACACTTATTAGCCAAATGTCCAATTATCCAAATTACCACTTGCCCTCCTTTCTCTCTTCCATTGACATCACATTACAATTACATCTCTTATGTCATGTGACTTCATGATCAATAATGCCTGTTTGCTGTGACTGATTCAAATGATCAGTAGGATGCTACTTACACATTGATAAATAAATACAGTACATGTACAGTACAGTACAATACTGTGCTATTACCCTGTAATTTCATTCTTTACATGTTAATCCACTTATCCAAATCACCTGAAGAAGAAATCAGTTTGGATAATAGTTTTACCATATTATTTTATTAAAGTTAGTCTATTGTGACTATAATCTATTAATAGGATTTATTATACTGATTTAACTTACAGATGAAAGAGGGATTGAATTTAGTCTATTAGTTCAAAAGAAGAAACTCTTTATTTGCACCTATGTACTGTATAATATTTTCTTATATTTTAGACATTTTTGTCCCTCATTAGTAGATGTTTTATCATTCAAATAATAAAAAAACCCTGCTAATGAGGGACCAAAATACAAGAAAATATTATATATAGGAGCAAATAGTTTATTCTTTTGAATTTAATCTTTCTAATTTCATCCACAAGCTAAATTAATATAATAAATCTCATTAATAGACTAAAGACACAATAAAATAACATTAATAAAAGAAAACTATTGATGTTTACAGAATAAACAGTTGATAGGAAGTTTTATTTACTTAACTAATTGTTCTACATTTTTTTCAATGTAAATATTTTCATCAAATTTGAAAAATGAAAAAAATGTATAAACATGTCTAAAAACTTTTTTCAGAAAGTTGTAGAAATTCTCACAAAATTCTCTATTGATAATGAAGTTTGATTGGAAATACCATTAATGGAAGAAATAACACACACATTTGTATCTAAGTTCTGATATTCTAATTCCAGTGATAAAGCATATAGGAATTATAGAAGTTATGTGTAATTTATACATAATTTTGCATAAGAATATTAAATTTGTATTATATAAGGATTTCATATGGACATAAAGTTTGCATAGAAGTTACAGTACAAAGTTGATATTTCTTTATATAAAACTTTTTTCAAAATTTCACAATATAACATTTGTTTTATACCAGTACATAAAAAATATCCATTTTCTCTTGCAACTAGATTTTTCAAAGCAGTTATGTTTTAATTAGAGGATAGTTAATACTTTTGTAAAGATAAATCTTTATATTAATGTATAAAAAAGTAATAAGTAATATAAATAATCATAATGCTTATTATTATTATTATTATTATATATATATATATATATACGAATGCATAAATTTTATTAATGGCACATAATAAACGTGTATTCTATTTTAAGAAACGATCACGTGCTTTTTCTGTCATCAAGGCCCGCTTGTAGGGGGGATGTATACGGGGAAGGAACCGGAAGATGTACACACACGACTTCCGTTTTTACTGGGAGGAAGTCGGTTTTCCTTGACGATACGTCTTTTATTTATTTATTTATTTATTTATCTACCCATTCTAACTAATTATTACATTAAAATATTTATTTATTTTATTATTATTACTTTTTTTCTGAACTTTGTTTAAGTGTGTTTTCGGCTCCTTGCTAGTAACTAAATATAAACTAAGTAACTGGAAGGTAGCCAAAATACAACACCTGACAGTCAGGGGGATAGGGAAAAGTTGTCTTCGTAAATTTCTGTAAGGTTTTTTCCCTATTTTATTAACTAGGAAATGTTATATTCACAATGCGTTACGTGTTTAAATACACATACATAAATACAGCGTATTGAGTAAGTAAATAAATAAAAGAAGAAGAAGGTGAAGCAAATATACATCCTGAATGTTAAATGATTATTATTCTTTATTATTTGATATAATTTTACTATATGTTTATTTTATTTTTATATAAAAATCTGCGTGAAATTGCAAAAATATATATATATATATATACAGTCTCATATAAAAATATTAAATTTCAAATTTAATAATAGAAAACGACAATAGAAAACGTTAGATTAAATACGAAAGTATTGTTACAGTTTTATTTATATTATTTACATAATTTTCTTTTGTTTACATATACTTTAATATAAATACACAATTGAAGTATTATGTATTACTATATAATATGTTAACTGACTTTTTAGCTACTCTATATTTTCATATAGAGTAAGAGGGTGGTTCAAAAGTTAGTTAACACTTGTTTTGTTTTATTTAAGTTCCAAGCACACTTGCGAATATGAGTCGTAAAATGGGTTTACGATTCATATTCGCATGTGTTTTTCTTATACGAAATTTGATGAATACGCGACAAAAATGTAAAAAAAAAAAAGAAAAAAAAATACGATTAACTATTTATGAATTCGAATGATGCAGCAACTCTCACTCTTTGCAGCAGCAGTCAACCGAATTTTGGTCCACCCTTTATATAAATAAAATCCTACATCAAAGCGAAAGATTAACTATCAGACTCCTCGATTCAGATAAAGAAATCAATCAAATTCCAACAACGGACACCACCAAGCTCTATGAAAGTTAACCAACTTTTGGACCGCCCTTTAGGATAAATCCTCTATCAAAGCGGTCGATTAATCATCCAAGTATCCGAATAAGACAGTAATTTAAGTTCTAAAACGGTAAACTGACTTTTTGGCCCACCTTAAGCAAATAAATCCTGTATATAAGCACTCGAATAAGGCAGTAGTTTAATCTCCGCCACGGTTAACTAACTTTTTGGCCACCCGTTTATCACCAAGCACTCGAATAAAACAATAGTTTAAGCTCGGTAGTGGTTAACTGAGTTTTGGGCCACCCTTTATATAAATCCTGTAGAAAAGAAGCACTATACCTGTATAACAAAAAAATTGATCATTTTTATATAAAAA